GGATGATCCATGCTGAAATGCAGCCATGGATACTGAGATTGATGCTCTAGAAGCTCAGCACATGTGGGATGTTGTCCCGCGTCCTCCGGGTATTACTATTATCGGTAGTCATTGGGTTATACTATTGAGACGCACCCGGATGGATAAATTGAATGCTTTAAGGCTAGAGTGGTAGCTCAAGGTTTCAAACAGGAATATGAGATTGATTTTGATGAGACTTTTGCTCCGGTTGCTAAAATCCAAACTGTTCGGAGTTTGTTTGCTGTTGCAGCTATGAAGCAGTGGCCTATTATTTAGTTTGATGTGAAGAATGCCTTTCTGCATGGGGATTTGAAGGAAACTATTTATATGGAATGTCCTAAGGGATATTCAAAAGGCGGGGCGGATGTGGGTTGCAAGCTTTGACGCTCGTTATACGACTAGAAACAGGTTCCTCGAGTCTGGTTTGAGAAATTTCATGGGACTATTCTTCAGGCTGGTTTTCTGCAGAGTCAAAATGATTTGTCTATGTTCATTTGGCATACTATTCATGGCATGATTGTCTTACTTCTCTATGTTGATGACATGATAGTAACGGGTAGCGATGGTGAAGGAATTCGTGAGCTGACTGCTTCTCTACATTCAGCGTTTAATTTGAAGGAACTAGGAGATGTATCTTATTTTCTGGGATTGGAGGTGACTCGGACTAAGGCATGATTATTTTTCAGTCAGAAGAAGTATATTCAGGACTTGTTGGCGGGCACTAATTATGATGCGAGTCGATCGGGTAACACTCCCATGGAACAAAAGTTAAAGATGAAGAGGGATGACGGTGAGATGTTTGAGGATCAAACTTTCTATCGCAGTGTTGTGGGCAGCTTGATCTACCTAACTCACACTCATCCTGATATTGCCTATGCAGTACAAGTCGTTAGTCAATTTATGGGAGCTGCACGAACCACTCATCTTGATGCTGTGACAGATTACTTCGCTATCTAAAGCGTACGGCAGAAGTTGGATTATTCTTTCCTAGGGATGGAACCCCGTCTATTGAAGCTTTCGCTGACGCCGACTTTGCAGGATGTCAAGATAAAGTTTGGGCTATCGTTTCTATCTTGGAGATGCAAGAAGCAAGATAAAGTTTCTAAATCATCTACAGAAGCTGAGTACAGATCGATGTCGGAAGTAAGTTCTGAAATGGTGCGGCTGCAACGACTATTTCAAGAACTAGGTGTGGAGTGTGAAAAGTCTATGCATGTATATGGAGACAACACCAGTTCTATTCAAATAGAAAATAATCCAATACTACATGATCGGACAAAGCATATTGAGGTACATGTCCATTACATCAGACAATTAGTTGCCGAGGGAGTGATTCAGCTAAGCTATTTGAAGACAGGAACAGACTGTTGATTTGTTGACAAAGGCTATTTCCTCTAGTAGAAATTGGTATGTATCTTCCACATTGATGTTGCGTACCCAACATCAATTTGAGGGAGGGTGTTGATTATATTTAATATAGGTACCAATATGTAATTATGTAGTTAGGGTTTGTGTTAGCAAACCTATATATACCCAGCTGTATGCTACGTTGAAAGTTAACGAAATATAATACTAAAACCTGAGAGGGAGATCCTCTCCATGGACTGGGGTCATAACTGACGATACCAAGTTAAAATCTCGAGTGTTATTTACGTTTTAGCTTGTTTGATTGAATGTTTGTCTAAACATCCTAGTCAATATTTTCGATCTATAACATTGTGGCCTCAATTATGCATCAAAGTTATCAAATTGGCAAAACCCGAGATTTGACCGTTATCTTGGGCAATCAAACGCGTTGACTAACAATCAACCCGCCACGTCACCGCCCAATAAACACAATAAATATTAAATAATTCAGAAAAGACACATAATCTCCAATTGTGAATTATTTAAATTAATTTAAAAATAAAAATTAACAAAAGATAATAAAAAAACATTGTGATCGAAATAAAAATAAAAATATGCTAAATTTCACATATTCTCTTGAAATAAAAAATATCTCCCCCTAAATATTTCATTCAAGATCGTTTCATTCAAGACTAAACTTCCCAAAAGATGGCATATTGATTAATGTAAATAGATAAGATAAAATACACCACACATTAAATTCCAATATTGGTACCAACAATCGTCCTAATATCTTTAAGAACATTCATATTAAAATATCCGTCGCAGGTGTACAATCACTCAACATCCCCCGCTGGCTACAACTGCCTTTCAAGGAGTCTCGAAACGTTTCGCATGCTCGGCCGCAACTCCGGGCTAGTCACGATACAAGAAACGCCGATTTTGAAAACCAGCGCCAATTTCGTCCAGAGCTTTTCCTCTTCCCCGCCCGGAATCGGCAGCCGTTCATCCGCTATATCTTCCAGCTGGATCCCCCGGCCGCCGGCAGATGAATTCAAACGCGTCAGAAGCTCCCCTGGATGCTTCCCCATCACCACTTCCAGCACCAGAACGCCGAAACTGTACACGTCGCACTTCTCACTCACCGCCATCGTGTACGCCAACTCTGCATTCACATACAAACAATGAAGTCAAAATCGTAATTCAACGTAGATACGTTTCTGTAACCTAAAAGAGTAAAAATATAAAATTTTAACTTTTAAACAACAGATTTTGACTAGTGAAAAGTGTGATTCGCTGTAAAAGCATTTTAATTACCTAAAATATAAAAACATAAACTTTTAAAACACGATTTTGACCACATGGAATAAAAAACAACAAATTAAACCACCCACGTAAGCCATGCATGATGCATGCCCGAGTAGGAAAAAAGCTGAGCCCAGCTAACTGGGCTTTTGGGCTTTTTGGTTTAAAATTACCTGGGGCCGCATATCCGTAAGTCCCGGCAAACGCGGTCCAGTTGGAGGAATCGGGCTTGAGAAACTTGGCGGTCCCGAAGTCCGAAACCCGGGCCTCGAGATCCGAGTTCAGCAGCACGTTCTTGCTCGACACGTCGCGATGGATCACCGCGGGAACGACGTCGTGGTGCATGTGCGACAAGGCGTCGGCGACGCCTCTGACGATCTCGATCCGCTTCTCCCAATCGAGATCCGCCGCCGCGCCGTCGCTCCTCAGAACATCCGCCAAGCTCCCCTTCTCCATGAACTCGTACACCAGGAACGTGTGGTCGCCGCCGGTGGAGAATCCGTACAGCTTGACGATGTTGCGGTGGCGCAGCTCCGTCAGCGCCGCCACTTCGCTGGCGAAGCTCTTCAGTTCCTCCTCCGTGTTTCCCGCCGTCGTCGGCGGATGGGAAGGGTTTAGCTTCTTGACGGCCAGGACTCGGCGGCTCTCGGGAGTCGCGGCCTTGTAGACTTTCCCGGTGGCTCCTTCCCCGATGCAGTAGCTCTCGTCGAAGTTCTTCGTGGACTGGATGATGTCGTCGTATGTGATTTTGCCGGTGAAGTAGCAGACCGAAATTGGATCTTCGTCGGTGAATCTGCTTGTTTCCTCTCTCACTGCGGATTCTGAACTCCGGCTGCGGAGAAATGCTAGGATTCCAATTACGGCGAGCAGAAGGAACAACGCGCCTGCGGGGGCGCCGATGATTATTGCTATTCTGTTTCTCCTGTTCGAACGATTGGAGCTGCTACCTGTGGAAACGGTGGAATCGCAGGCTCTCAATCCTTGCAATTCGCCGCACAAGCCTTTGTTGTTGGAATAAGCATTCGATGGAGCTGAAAGGAAGGCGTCGCTATCGGGAATCGGCCCTTCCAAGTCGTTGTTGGAGAGATTGAGAGAGACCAAGCTCAGCATTTCCCTCATTGAACGAGGGATTGAACCAGAGAGACTGTTGTGGGAGAGGTTCAAGTTTTCTAGCCTGGTAAGCTTGCTGAACTGAGAAGGTATTTCCCCTGTCAACGAATTGTAACTCAAATCAAGCAAATCCTGTAGAGCTTCTAGATTGCCAATTTCATATGGAATGCTCCCACTGAGATTGTTGCTGCTGAGTCCCAGCTGCTGCAACCGAGAGCAGTCTCCTAGTTGAGATGGAATTGAGCCGCTTAACATGTTCGTTGAAAGGTCTAGAGACTGCAAGCTTGACAATGTTCCTATCCCAACTGGAATCTGACCTGAAATCCTGTTTCCCTTTAGGCTTAAACTCGCCAATCGGGTTAAGTTTCCGATCTCATCTGGGATCTCTCCTGAAATTTGATTCTCAGAGATGTCAAGAACTACCAGCTTGCTGAGTTGAAGAATCTCATTTGGGATTTCCCCACTCAAGAAGTTCCCAGCAAGTGCTAGATACGTCAGGTTTTGGCTTTCTGCCCATTTGGGAGAGACTTGACCTGTCAAGTTGTTGTAGCTCAGATCCATGTAAGTGAGATTAGGGTATATCCCAAGGTCTTCCTCCAAAACTCCTTCTAGTTGATTGTACTCGAGACGGACTCTGAACAAGGGAGGACAGTTTCGGAGACTTCTCGGGATTGGACCAGAGAAATTGTTGTATGCAGCACTGATATTCACCAGCTTCCCGTCTTTACAGACTTCCGGTGGCAAATGGCCGGTGAAGTTGTTCTCTGCTAAGTGTAGGATTATCAAGGAAGAATGGTTCCCTAACTCTGGAGGTACTATACCAGACAATTGGTTCCTGAACAAGCGGACATCAGTCAGCTTGGTTAAGAATGCTAAACCTGGCGGTATTGATCCCGAGAGTTGATTGGAGTTGAGGCGAAGGATGGTTAACTCTGTCAAGTTGCCCATAGAAGTAGGGATAGGACCAGAAAACTGGTTCTCATCAAACGCTATGAGCGAAAGATTCTTCAGGTTTCCTATTTCCTCCGGGATTCTGCCACCTAAGCCAGTGGTTTGGAGAAGAAAATTTCTCAGGCTAACAAGGCCAGTTCTGGCGAAGAAGCGGGGGTCCAGAGTTCCGGTTATGTTATTTCTAGAAAGGTCAAGCTCATAAACTCGAGTGAGGTTGGAAATAGAGAGTGGGATAGTGCCATTGAGGGAATTTGTGGAGAGATCAAGGAACTGGAGCTTGGAAAGCAAGCCAATGGTGGGTGGGATGGTGCCAGTGAACTGGTTGTATTTAAGATCGAGTCGAAGAAGATTTGGGAATGAAGAGAAGTTGAGGTTCTGCAAGGTACCTGTCATGTCAAGGTACGACAAGTTAATCTCTGTCACGCTTCCTGATTCGTCACAGGCTATTCCAAACCACCGGCAGGGACTAGCAGCAGAGGAATTCGAACTTCGGTTTGCTGGGATAGCCCATGAGCTGAGGATGGATTGGTTCCTGAGACCCTCTTTCCATTTCAGCAGAGCTCGGACTTCGCCTGCGGTGGAAGCCAAGGTTGATTGAAGGCAAGACAACAGGAGAAAGGAAGTGAGAAAGAGTGGCACTACTTGGGTTTTGTCAAGCTTTGCCATTGAAACTGGTAAAAGGTAACAGCTTTTGCTTTTCTCTCCCGGTGTGTTTGGCTCTTATGGTTACTGCGCTTATAACCAGATAACACAATGATAAGTACTTTGCATCTACGACTCTTCATGAGGGTGTCATGATTGTCAAAGTGAGATACTTGGATGACATTGATCGTTGGACAAGTTGCAGTATGAGGCTGAAGAATAAGAAGCTGCCAATATAGCAAATAGGACAATGTGAGTGCTGTTTGATTCCCCTCCCAAATGTTCTTAAATAACGGCGCTTGACTTTGATAAATTTTTGTGTTTTGGGTTGGCGGATTGGTTCATTTGTATCAGTTGACTTGAGCTTGGAGTTGCAGTCTTGTAAGGCAAAGAGTTTACTTTATTGATGGGGTTATGATGCGGCTCGTCCATACAAATTATTGAATGGCATTTCGAAATAGATAGCTCTTTTAATGTTTAGTTGAATATGTTTTTTTTTTTAATGTAATGGCCGTTTGAATTGTGCTGATAGGGTGATGAAGATATCATGATGTCTTAATAAGGTAAGTCTGCCCTTGTTTTTTTTTTTCTTTTTTCTTTTTTCCAAATGGCAAGACTGAGTCCATTATGAATGAAGCTAAAAAAAATTATGTTCAAATGTTGACCTAAACTAAGGGCAGTTTGGTGGATGGAATTGTATGAGGCAATTTGGTAAATTGGATTAAAATGAAGTAATTGGGTTAAATAGCCTCCTTTGGAAACACAAAATAGAGGTGCAGCATTTGGGTTACGACAATTTGCATTTATTTGAAGTAACAAAGAGAGTGGCAAGTATTTTAAAATGAAGCAGCAATCAAATCAAATCGTCTCATATAAAAACAAAGCATACAAACTATCTCTAAATAAACAATTAAGAAAGTTTGGGATTGGAATTGAATTTCGTTCTGAGCGTTCAAGTTCATATCCATCCTAATCTTATGATGATTTTTAATGTGCATACGTTGCCCCGCTTTGATTTGCAAATGATGCGGTCTAGTTTGTATATATTATGTATGATTTGTATTTCATCTCGTTATCATTTGTAACAATATGGTTTTATTTATAGGTTATGTCAATGTTGTTTGTGTACAATATGATACTCTAGTTTGTAAACTATGTGAGTTTGGTTTGTTTACAATATTTTATAGATCTATGAATCCTAATTTATAATTAGAAGGAAGAAAAAAAAGCATCCTCCTTTCCAGAACAGGGCACACCATGGCTACATAACTTGGAAGTTTGAACCAATTAATCAAACTAAGTATTATTTAGCGTTTGTGGATTGGAGATACATAGTTTCCATTATGAGTAGGGTGGAAATCAGTACGGTATCAATATACCGAATTACACCCTGAAATCAATCCTAATCCCAATCCCTAAATATTTCGGTATCCCAATCGGTACCTCGGTATCCCAATCGGTATTATCAAATACAAAATTAATTACCTTTGCAATTAATAATTAAATATATAAATTAGATTTTATTGTTTAATTTAGGGCAAAGAGACTAAGCAAAGAGTCTTGAGTTGCCTAGAGCTAACATCTCAAGCTTTTGTAATTGGTAATCTTTAATTTGATGAATTTGAGGTTGAGATACGATTAATACTAGTGTGAAGTAGTGATGTAATGATCTATGTATAATTAAATGACACTTTTGGTGGTTGAGGGTCGCGTAGTAGTGAATGAGAGAGTCTAGTAGAGAGAATAATATACACACTAGCTTATATTTCGGTATTGATCGGTATTTCGGTATATATACCGATCCCAATCCCGTAATTCCTAATACCGAATAACAATTGAAACTCAATCCCAATCCCAAACCCACGAAATAATACGTGTATTCGATAATACCAAATATAGACAAATTCGGTACGGCATTCGGTATATCCCAAATACCGGTACCAAACTTCCTGCCCTAATTATGAGGGTCATCGCTTCTTGATGAAGTTGCCCTCAGTATCCTATGCCAGTGAAGAATGGAAAATTTATGACCAATGCCAGTGAATGGTTGATGCCTTGACGGAATACTTGGGGAATCAGATGCAGGGATCAGAATGGGAAATTTAATAATTTATGGGTCGCTTTGGTTTCGTGTCGTAGGTGATGAGGTTGAAACAGACTGTGAGTAAGGGTGTGCAATTGGTCTGGTCCGTATCAGATTGTATCGGACCAAATCAAAGTTTAGATTGGACCGAACCGGTTTGAGGATAATATGGTCCGGTAGTTGGTACTCATGAATTTTATAATTACTTAAGAAATAATGGACCTAACTGATTTTTGAACTGGATGATCCAAACGGCATGGACTTTTGCAATGATGGTCTGGTCCTTGATTCTAAGATGTTTTTAACTAATGGACTGCGGTTCTCATGAGTTCGATTCGATCCGGACTAGACCGAATTGTTGCACACCCCTAACTGCGAGGTGATGGAGAGAATGCTCACTAATAAGCCAGCGCATTTGTTAGCCCATACCAATTGTGTTTCGCATCAAGATGAAACATGGATGGATAGGCTACCAATTTTCCTAGTACCTTTGTTAGCACTTAAAAAAAACACTTATATTAGGGTTAGGTCAACCTTCTTAAAAAACGACGGAAGAAACCCGATTGGGTTTCATGTTTAATTAAACATTTAGCTTTCTAGTGCCGTCTGATGGTGATAATATATATAAAAAATCTGAATAGGGTTATTACATATTCGGGCTTAAAAAAAAAAATGGAACTGGTAAGACCTAATCTGATCCGGATGAAGTTTAAAATCATTAACATGTTCAAACTCTGACCTAAACTGTCTACATGTTAAAATAATTTGGATGAGCTTAGGTCGAGTTTCGAAATATAAAAATACCAATAGGTTCAATTTTCAATACTGAAACTTGACCATGCCAAATTAGTAGCAACTATAGAGGTCAAACAGACTTAGAAAGGGTAAAACCCAAGCATTTTGGAGGATAAATTAGTCATAAACCAAATGGTTTCAATAATTCGAGTTGTTGGGAGAGGGCCATGTATGATATTTAATCACTTACGCATACGCCCACTCAAATGAAAGCCGACTCATGGGCTTGAAGTTTGCACAGTCCCGACATACCACGTGCTTGAAGACAACGATTAATATTTGTCAAACGGACTTGGAAAGGGTAAAACCCAAGCATTTTGGAGGATACATTTGTCATAAACCAATTGGTCCCAATAACTCGAGTTGTTGGGAGAGGCCATGTATGGTATCTAACCACTTCCTTACACGCCGATTCATGGGTTTGAAGTTTGCACAGGCCCGCCATACCATGTGTTTGAAGACAACGGTTTGAAACCTCAGAGACGATTTGGGATTTAGATCAAAATGGGGGAGATGACTGTTCGACTGATGTCTCTGGAAGAGAAAAGGGGAAATGAAATTCCCGACTCGGTTTCGACTGAGGTAACCAAAGGAGTGGGCCGAACCGGAACAAGGGTCTAACCAAATGAAGCCCAAATATAATTTGTCCAAGCCCAAACCGGATTTACAGCACTCAGCCGATGAACTGAAGTCCACCTCTGGAAATACAAGATCAGAAGAGAAACAGAGTATTTCCAGAACAGAGAAGAAGTAGAAAACTTGGAAGAAAAAGAAGAAGAACACAAGACACATGACGTTTTTAACGTGGTTCGCCCAAGTGCAATGGTTTACTTCCACGTCCCGGAATATGGTCTGGGAGACCTTTTATTGGATTTTCTATTTTGACAGAAAATAACACAAAGAACAAACAGAGAAGAGTAAAGCTAAGAAAAACAGAGTAAACCGAAAATTAAAGCACAAAACCCAGATCAACCCTTGATCTGTATCAACCTTGATGAACGTTGAACCTTTGCCTCAACTGTTCATCAATCCCTTTTGTAACCACTTGTCAAGTCCTTTCCCAGTCGAGCTCTTACAAAAGTGCATGTTCAAGTGCAGGGTCAGCCATATAAATAGATCCTCGAGGTGCTAGCCGTTGGGAACAACTAAGGAAGCTCAAGGAAGATTTCCTTAAGTGGATTCCTGTAATTGAGCAACGGTCAGAATTGCAAGCTCAGACTTTCCCAAAGTACTCCAACACGGTTAATATTGGGGGCCGTGAGAATTTGAACACGTGACCTCAAGGACAAACCAGCTCTCATACCATGTCATAAACCAACTGGTCCCAATAACTCGAGTTGTTGGGAGAGGCCCTTGTATGCTATTTAACCACTTCCTTACATTTAGATGTGAAATGTACCTTTGAATCCACGAATAATTGGTTAAGTATATAAGTGGCAAGACGATTACTTTCCTGGTAAGTAACGTACCGACATTTTATTTTATCTCTAAACTAATGGTATGTCTAATAGTATGTCAATAGCCATAAAATATATATATAATTAATTAATTTAAAATATGTAAATAATGTTAATCAATTAATTCAATTCATTAAATAAGGATATCAATGTGTTATACGAGTTTTATACGGGAGCTGCCAAATATAGACAGAAAAATAAAATGATTTGACAATAGTACATCAACAAAAATCTTAAATGAATTTTGAATTAAATGAATTCACGGATTAGATTCTCAGGTTAGAACTAAATCTGTAAAATTTGTCACATGTATATATGATTTCTGATAATTGGCAGCTATCTCAATAATACAAATCTCGCCCCATAACATGTAATCAATTATACAGAGTCTAAGAATAAGAGTAGGAAACGCAAGATGCAAGTGATTCATCATCGTAGAAAGGTCTATATGAACCCTAATTTAGAAGGGGGAAAAAGAAGCATCCTCCTTTCCACTTTCCAGAACAGGGCATACCATGGCTACATAACTTCGAACCAATCAAGCTAAGTAGTATTTAGCGTTTGTGGATTGGAGATACATAGTTTCCATTGTGAGGATCATCGCTTCTTGAAGATACCCTCAGTATCCTATTCCTACGAGCCTTCGCCTTCGTCTTCATCTCCATCATCATCGTCATCAGTCTTCCATCTGAAACTTAAAACATCTCATCATGTCTTAATTAAACTCAAAGTCTCACTGCATGCTTACGAGAAAATAAGATTCAGGAGAAACAGAGGAGCACACTTATGAGGAAAGAAACCCTACCCATCAATGGCCGTTCTGCTGCTACATGATTCTGATGATGTGAGTTAGCTAACAGAAACATGGAGACGAAGAGGAGGATCAGAAGCAGCCAAGCTTTGATACTGCTAATGGATATTCTCTTCAAAGCCATCATGCATGCTTAATTTTGTATAGCCATGGATGGATGGATATATATGGATCTCTATAATCCCCATGAAAGTAACAGTTTGACGAGATCAACTTATATCGTATTAATTTTTTGTATAGTACAGGGTGACAGAGTCATATACGTACAATATGGCTCCAAATTCTTAATTATTTGTCCATATATGATTAGAGTCAATTTG